CCAGCACAGAAGTGTCTGGTGACCTGGACATGTTTACACCTGTACTGAGGAACATTATTTGAATTGTAGCATAACATTGTACTAAAAAGATTCAGAGCAAGAACAGTTGATGTCAACTCCTGCAGGAAAGATCCAGGCTCAGGAAGATGAAAACAATTTCATAGAAGCACAAGCAGAAAGAGCTAAAACACAGTTAAAACTACTGTGAGCAACTGACAAAAGGCTCCGGGTCTCCACAGTTACCTATAAGGCCTGTGTGAGAGTTAGGCAACTTCTCTGCAGGACGTTAGCTCAAGGTCAAAGTCCTGGCAGCTCCCCTTGGGGGGAAAATGTGGCTGCTAAGGTGGAATCGGGGGACGGAATGTTGACGACCCAACCAAGGATTTAGGAGGACACAGAGGGAGGCTTCAGAGTCAAGTGTGCATTTAAATCTTCAAAGTAGCAAGACAAATCTGTCGTATACCAATGTGTCTGAAGAAGGAAAGAAAATAGTCCACTGGACAGACAGGCCACCATGAAGACGTCCAGACTGAGGAAGCCCTGATCAAATGGGCAGATCAACGTCTTGAGGGGGGAGGAAATGAAATGACTAAGCTTTATCAACAGAGAAAGGGAAGCATCTCGGATTTTACCTCATATTGTGGATTGTGACTTGCAGGAAGAGATGGGAAGTTCTGAAGCCAATGACCGATGAGCTGTGAATATGAAGAGCTGGAGACCAGAAAGAGATTCAAAGGTCTCAAAGGATAGATGGAAAAAAAACAATCTTCTCAGAGGTGAACTCTTTGCTGGAACTGAAAGTTCATGATCACATGTGGAAGGCTCGAGTGGGTGAAGGAAATCTTGTGATTTCTAGACAGAAGATTACTGGGCTGAGCTAAAGAATGACCCAAGTGGCAATTTATCTTAAGCCTGGAGAAATGAATCCCCAGGCTTTTGTTGACTTTGGTGGAGCCTTTGTCAGTGAGCATTTTCTCCCTGATCTCTGTGCACCAAGTGCTGCTTCCCCTGGGACAGGAATGTCCCTTTCCCCTCTCCTCAGACCCTCCCCTTGGCTGCCAAGACCCTCCACCTCCTTGTCTTCCTCCATTCCCCAACCATGATCCTGGTGGATCTAAAAATGAAGTTCCTGGCAAGGGATGCCCTGTACTTTCTAGTCCCCAGAAGCCTCACTTCAGCCACTGAGCCTGTTCCCACCAAGGCAAGCTTGACCTCATTGTCCATCATGGCCTGGGTTTTCCCTGGACACCCCCATCCTCATCTACAAAATGGCAGTGAGTCATCTCCTAGGTTCACTCAGCCTGTGATGACCCTCATCATCAAAATCCCAAAGTGAGCACCGGAGGCCACAAGGTGTCTCCTTCTTTGTTCAAAAATATTATTGAAATGTATGTTTACTTTAAGAAACTTTTAGTGTGAGTTGTTATATTTTTGCTTACCATGGACATTGTCAGAATCAAAGTGGAGACAACTGTGTCACATCCTAACAAGAAATAAATAAATAAAGCTGGAAGGCTGAGAACGGA